TGATTAATATGCATTAATATGCATTGAAAAGGATCCAAAATTGAAACCTATACATTTTATGTTAATTAACTACGATTAGTAATAATGTAGTAATAAATGTAGTAATAATGTAGTAGAAAACTATATGTTAATTGTTATTACTGCGTATCCGTTGACTTATTTTTCCTTCATTTTATTTCAAATTATTCTTGGAATCTTTGCTATTCTTGTTTATTGTTAAGACTTCTTTTTGTTTGAAATTGATTGTTTAACAAGATTATTGAACTTTAATTGTTCAAGTCTTGTAAAAAATTAATTGTATTTAGGCTATAATTGTTCTTTTAAATGTAGATTGATCAGTATCTGAAATAAAATACCGTAACAATTATTAAATAGAAATGTTTACACCAATTGAAAAGCAAGTAAAGTTATAAAAAAAGCAAAATTATTTGTTTTGCTGATCTCATGACGTGTTGTCTTACGTGAAATGTTTGATCTTTCAAGGGTTATCAAGCAGAGAATAAATAATGTTCAGTAATAGATACATTTAGTGCATCAATTCTTTAATCCAATTTAATCTGTATTATTAACAACATAATTTTACATTAATGAAACGATTGTAGTATAAAGCAAAATAATTGTTGACATTAAAGAATTTAAAAATCGCACGATTAAAGATATACTTTAAATGGATTCGAAAAAACTAAAGCATAATCAATTAAAAATTAGATTATGCTCTAGTTTTCAACAGCGTTCTAAATTAAATTATTTAATTAATTATTTAATATTATTGCTCTTAAAAAATTATGAAAAAATATAACGTAAAAAATATTCATAAAATTTTGAATAAAAAAAAATGTTTAGTTTCAACTAAAAATTAGGAGACTATATATGATCGGAATATCCTGTTTAAATACCTAATTCGGAAACAGTCACTTAATTTTTTTACATAAATTATCACGTAGGATGTTTTTCACATCTTAATTTAAAATTACTCTTATATAATTATATCTTGTATTTATATTATTTGTTCTACAATTTATTAAATTTAAGATCATTATATAGATTTATTTAATATTTTCTAAAAAAAATAAAAAAATGTAAAATAAATGGAAATGCGTTCAGTAAAGAAAATTATGATTAAATAATTAGCTTTATTTTCTTCCTGCTGTGTAAAAACCAGATTCTCAGGTTAATGGACACATAATATTATGTTTGAATGTTGAGTTTATCGTGTTCATGACACTCTGCTTAAAACGTATTTACATTTATCTGCTTATTCTATCAACTTTCCTGATTCACTTGTAATAAATGATAATAAATCATTTCACATTATATATTGAAATCCTATTCTTTAATCTTATCGATATATATTAAAACTTGATATATAACGAATAAATGTATACAGATATTAATTATGTAAATATAATCGCATTTGCGTAATGAATTCGTATTTCTAAATTTTCTTTGAAATGAAATTACTGATATTTACATATCTTTGAGATGTTAAAAAAATTTTTTTATAAAAGAAATCCATGTAGCTAATGATAACAATTGTTTGAAAATCACCAAATCATTAAATAAAATATTAAAGAATATTAAAAGTGAATTATATTTATAAACTATGTACTTATTAAGTTTGTTAACAGATCTTCACAAGATGGCTAAGATGTATATCTTGATTGCATTACTGTCGCAGCTACTTTTTACGCTAGTACAAGGACAGCATTCTCCATGTCCTCAATATTTCAGATATATAACTAAACCGGGAACAGACGAAACGATAGGGCAGATTGAAATCCAGTCTCCGCCAAAAGTTAGCAAACTCCATTTGAAAGTGAGTTTAAAACTCACTGCTGAGTTACCTACGGTATGTGTTCTTTTTTTTATATATCTAATTATGATTGTTAATGCAGACAATTTCTAATAATTTCATGCAAGTTGTGTCGGCTCAACAATAGCTAACAATTATTTCTCTAAAGTATTTCTGAAACAAAATTTAGCTTGAAGTCGTAACGTTTCTGCAAGTAGTGTCTTAAAAAAACAAGTTTTGCTTGATTTAAGAATAAAAATACATTTTAAAATGACCAAAATATAATATTATATAAAAAAATTTTATGAAAAGAAGTTCATTTCTATAAAATAAATCAATCATCAATATGTTTTAGAAATATTATGGTCAACTAAAATTAGCACGATCGACCGAAGACTCTGCTCAAGCTGTTTTACAGGGCAGGAGTTTATTATATCATATTTATTTCCCTTTACGCCAACCACTTCCAACATTGACCACAATATGGTTCAATGGTAAAAAATATTGTACGGGTCCCGATGGTGAGTATCGTATTTGCTTGAAACAGAATATATGTAAATAATATATGTAAATGTATGTTCGAGAAAATAGGAATAGACTTTATAGATGTCCATTCTTTCGAGTCACAAATTAATTCTCATTTTATCTTATATTTATTAAGACGACAAAGAGATGAATTCGAAGATCTCACTCTAAAAAGACATGAGATTTGAATATCATATTTTGTTTCAGCAACAGGAGATGTTGTGACTATTACTATTACTACTATCACGTTGGAACATACTCTCTATCTGCCAAATATGCCTTCGCTAAATTCACAACCGAATGAATCGCTTCAGAACTCGACACCAAAACCAGAACAACAAAGTATTCCAAGGAAAACCACCGTCGCTTCTTTTCAAAATAATGGCAATATATTGCTAAATATGCTCCCGAAGCAACCCGGACAAGTTTATACACAATATAATAATAACAACGTATTCCTAAGGAAACCGACCCCAACTCAAGCAGTCTCACAATATGATTTTAATAATAATAATATATTTCTAAGGCCATCTTTGAGTAAAATTCCACAACATAGTAACAATAATGACATTAATAATATATTCCTACAGTCAAATCAGTCACCTAAACCTCAATCAAATCAGTCTCCAGCCAAACTAATTCCGCATAATAATAATAATAATAATAATAATAATAATAATAATAATAATAATAATAATAATAATAATAATAATAATAACAACAACAATAATAATGAATGTGGCATCGGCAGTCGCTCTGGAAATGCAAATCTTTTGATCGCTAATGGGCAGGAAACATTGCCTGGCGAATGGCCATGGTTAGCGGCACTTTTCGTCGTTACAAATCAATATGAGTTTCAATGCGCTGGAACTATTCTGACAAATAAATATGTCCTAACAGGTAAAATAATAAAAGAAAAAAAATGTGTATTACTAAGACTCTTCATATATTCAATAACGTAAACTTCTTATATTACCTTTGCTTTCTTTCTTGGATCGTAGAATTTATTTTTATTCTCGTAATAAAATTTAATTTTATAAATTTCCACAGATATTCACAGTTAATCCAAATATAATCGAGAAAAAATATATAAAAATATTTAAAATGCTTAATTGTTCATCAGATATTTTGATGTTATAGAGAGTTTTTGCTATGTATTTTGACTTTCCATTAAATAATGTAACTTTGTTCACCGTATGGATACATAATCTTACAAAAATTCCCAATTATTTTTTGTATTTTATATTATTAATAAGAAGTGCAAGCAAATACCTGGAGAATTTCTCTGCAATATGTGTGTGTGTGTGTGTGTGTGTGTGTATGTGTGTGTGTGTGTGTGTGTGTGTGTATACTCTTTAGTTTTGTATCTCTCAACATAGAGTGCGGATTATTAAAAAAAAAGTGATATTCATGCATATATTTTCTTTTTAGCGGGGCATTGTTTGAAGACGAACCTTGAAAGCAACGAAACTATACTTCCTAATGTGTTGGCTGTAGCATTGGGGCGATTTAATTTATTCGGATTTCGCGAGGTGGGAACCGTGAATCGGGAAGTCGCAAGTTACACAATTCATCCCGATTATGCGCATGACACCACCGGCGATTCCGATCTGGCGATTTTAAACCTCAGAAAACCTGTGGAATATAACCATTTCATCAAACCTATTTGTCTGTGGTCCGGTTCATCTGATCTTCACGACATCGTCAGTAGAAGGGGATACGTCGTGGGATGGGGCAAAGATGAATTCGGTCATCGTTACACCGATCATCCACGGATGGCGATAATGCCGATAGTCAGTCTGGTAAAGAACCTTTAAGATTCTTTTTAAATGAGAATTTTTCATAAATTTTGTTGTTTGATTGGTATACAAATTGGATCGAGATTCTCTAAATGAAACGTCCGAAAAATGAAAAAATAGGCAAATGACAATAAAATCGAAATATTTAAATATATTATGAAAAAAAAAGTTTATTTTTGCAACGATGACACGCGAAACTATATTTAATTTTGTTACATTTACACAGTTATTGTTACATTTACATAGCTTACATAGAATTACTATTACAACATTGTATGCACATATCTGTAGGTAACTAATCGATGATTTTATCAAAGCCATTGTATACCTAGAGTAATGAATGTAATGATTGTTTAAAAACAATAATGCTATCATTGATCATATGATTAAGATATAATTTCAAATTTTTGTAAACATTCTTAAAGTAACATATTTCGATACAATTCCGAGACGCTAACCATATATGAAAAACAGAGTCGGAGTTTCACGCCTTTTAAAACCAAACTTTACAAATGATGAAGATTCATTGTTGCATGAATTATAGGAGACCTGTCACTGGAGTTATCCGGGTTTCGTCAAACTCACCTCGAATCGTACCTTTTGCGCCGGTGTGCAAAATAGGAGCGGTCCTTGTAACGGTGACAGCGGGAGCGCGCTTGTACTTTTCGATAATACCACAGACCGTTATCTATTGCGTGGTGTTGTTTCACGGACAGTGTTTAGCCATGAACCAATATGTGATCTCACAAAGTACACCGTTTTTGTCGACGTGGCCAAATATCTAGTTTGGATTCAACAGCAGATATCCACGTAACGATAGTGTTGTTTCAAAATGTAAAATATGTTAGATAAATATGCTAGACAACATTTTACATAAAATTTATTTGAAGCTACAACACTTAAGGGAGCATTGACAAATGCATACTACTTAAAGTATATTTTTATTATATTTTCTATTACTGCTTTGTACGCAAATAAATATTGGAAATTGTAGTTTGATATTTTAGATCTATCTGTTACATGTTTCATTTTTTAACAATAATTAAATAATATAACATTAGAATGGCTCAAATAAAAACAAAATGTTGTAGAGAAAGGCTATAAGAAAATTTTCTTCTCTACATAATTTTGTTTTTTAACATATAATATTATATAATAATTAATATTTTATAAGTCTTTCTGTAATATACTGCAAACAGTACAGTTTAACAACTGGTTATCTGTAAATTTTTTAAATCATTCTCTTCTGAAAGTACTGAATGTTCTAATAAAAATAACTAAAAATATAGAATTAATAAAAAATCATTAACTAATATTTAACAATTATTAGTTTTA